ACTTTGTTGGTGATGCTCTAAGGGGAGGTTCATGTTGATTCTAGCCAAGTGTTCTGGTCGGGTCATTATAGTGGTCCTATAAGAATATAGGTCATGTGGTCATGCATCGAATCAGGTCTGTTCGAGGGTTTCATCAGGTAGGAGGATGACCAGGCAATAAGATCCTTGCTGATAGGTCGTCCACATGGTGTCCTATCACTAGTCAATCGGCTTGAAGGGTTGAATAAGATGTCAATAATAATTAAGTTGAAAAACAAAGGCATGAGTCATTCTCTAGAAAGAAATGGAGTTCTTGTCAATTGAATTTTGAAACTTTGTTTCGGGCCTTTTTTATTTATTTATTTTTTATGAAATAAGATCTTTCATTTAAAGAGAGCAACCGAAAACAGATTACAACTCAAAGAAAGAGAAGCAAAGCTATGCGAAAGATACAGTAATGCATGCAAAGTCGATAAACTCAAAACACAATTAAACAAACTGACACAAGAAAGAGCCCCACTGTACTGAGAGTGGTATGACAATCCAGACGCAGAGAGTCATGAACATCTTGATTAACACCTGCTACATGGATTCTTTAGGAGAACTGGGAAGACCGTCACGATTCAGAACATACACAAGAGAGGTGGGGGGCCGACTAAACTTCTTGACTCAACCTCGATAATGTCAGGAATGCAAGATGATCAGCCCCTTCATTGTTTTTCTTACTTGTCCATGCCTAGTTACATTTTGAGAAATTGGTGTTGAATTCACGAATCCTAGATAGAACCGAAAAAGATTCCATTTTCCACGCTTTATATTTCCTTTCACACTTTCGATCAATTCCTTGGAAACAGATTCAAAACAAACCTTTGACAAACCAAGCTCAATTGCCCATTTGTATCCTTCAAGACCATAAATTGCCTTAGCCATGATTGCACACTCCGCTCGGAAAGATAGACATTTTTCCCCTCACGAACTCCCGATTGGAATTTCGAGCTATAAGACCTACTCTCGCCTTGAAAGAAAAGGTCAGCCAAGAAACATGAATGTTTACTTTAATAATAGGGGCTTCAGGTGCGGTACACGAATCGAAGTTTGGAGAGGGTCCCTCGAGAATACTTTTGTCACTCTTTCAATTATTTGTCACAGACAACTACTTCATTTTCAAAATAATGGTTTGGATGGCCAAGTGTGGTTGTGGTTGAACGTGATCAAAAGCTGTCCGATTCTTTGTTTTCCAAATAGTCCAGCATGTAACATCAATAATATCTAAGATACGCCATTGGTTTGTAGCCCTTCTGTGGTGCACTTCAATAACTAATGATCAAAGGTATTTATGTCTGGTTTGTCAATTTTATAATTGAGAAGGCCACTAAACCAAACCAGGTCAATCCATAAGCAAAGAAGGAGCATATGTTCCATAAATTCCTCCAAAATCTAGCAGATGAGGTATAAAAAAGTGCTTGAAAGTTTGCGTCTATGGAGAGTCATCGTAGTATGTGTCTACAATAAGTCACACGCCATAAGAAGCTCTTGATCTTTGGAGGAACCTTTGCTTTCCAAATATTTTTCCACACCAAGGGATTAATCCGAGATGAGGCTGAGGGATTTCTGGCAATAGTCACATACTACTTGGCATGGATGCAGTGGTACCCAGATCACACCGAAAATTCACCGTTCTTTTCCCTAGGCCACACCAATCTGTCATGCTCCCTTCCACTCTTTGTGCAAATAAGCCAGATAGTACACTCCTTATGAGAAATAGAAGCTTGAATTGTGGCCAAGTTCCAAGTTCTAGAATCCCAATTATGAAAGTTTACACCTTAGTGTTAAGGTCAAAAGAGGCATGCAAGTAAGGATGAAGTTTACCATCGTGAAGGGAGGGAATCCAGCAATCAATCAAAAGCTTTGCGTGCCTACCATTTAAAACTTGCCACTAAGCTCCTTGAAGAATGATATTCCTTCCCTCGAGCAAGCTTGGCCACGTCTAGGAAGCCCAGTTGAGTTTTTTTGCCTTAAAAAAATTGCACTTTGGAAAATAACGAGCCTTCAAGAGTTGTGCTCATGGGGAATTGGCCTCCATGATCAATCTCCGACACTGTCTGGCTAGCAAAGCCAAATTGAAAATTTTAAAATTTCTAAATCCCATGCCTCCTTGCTACTTAGGAAGCCCCAAAGTACGCCAATTTATCCAATGCACTTTTGCATCATCATGCTTTTGTCCCTACCAAAATTTTGTAATCTCCTACTCAAACTTTTGACAGTTGGATTGGGGAAATTTTAAAATTCCCATAAGGAACGTTGGAACAGCATGTGCGATAGATTTGATTAAAACCTCTCTATAAACTTAGGTTAATAACCCTTGCTTCCGCCCTCTTATCTTCCGTAGTAACCTTTCCTTCAAAAAATTCAACGCCTCTCTCTTAGACCTTCCTCAAAGGGTAGGCAACCCCAAGTATTTCCTAGGATTCGTAACAATTGACATACCCAAGATGGCTCCGAGGTCCCTTCTTAAATTATCACGAGTGTTGGGACTGAAAAAGAACACTAGATTTCCCTAGATTGACTTGTTGACCTGATGCTTTGCAATACCCATTGAGCAGATTCATCATATTGAGACAATTTTGAAGATTAGCCTTTTAGAACGAATAAGGCATGATCAGTAAATAGTAGGTGACAAAGGGTCCGACCATTCGTACAAAAAGATAGCCCCTACAAAAGCTGCACATTAAAGAGGACATAGCCTCACTTACAAATAAGAACAAATAGGGTGATAGGGGATCACCTTGATGAATCCTGCAAGTAGGCTTGAAGTAACTTCTTACCTTTGCCATTAATAACTACTGCCAACTCCACAAATTTTACCAAGCTAATTGTCAATTGAACCCACCTCTCATCGAAACCCAACTTCCGCATCACTACCTCCAAAAAGTTCCATTCAACTACATCGTACGCTTAATTCATATCCAGTTCCATACCCAATTCATAGAGCTTGTGGACTTCCTTAGTTTCAATAGATGAAAGGCCTCATGAGTGAGAAGGATGTTACTTGAATTTGTCGGTTTGGGACGAAAGCATTTTGTTGCTTCTGGTCTTTGGAGTAAGAATTTTTGTTCTTTACTTTTTCTTTTTGCTTATTTTATGCCCTCTTTAGAGTAAAAAATAATAAAATAAACTTTACACCCCTTTATTTCTTTATGTTCCCTTTTCAAAAAGTCAATCATAATAACGCCCCAAAGAAAGTTTCACTATGTGACTTTATTGTCTTAGGCGTGTATTTTTTTATTTTTTATTTGGGTCAATATGAACTTTCATTAAAGGAGAGAAATCCAAATAAATTACAACTCAAATAAGGAAAAGCAGAGCCATGCGACAAAATAAAAGTGCATGCAAAGCGAATGAACTCAATACACGCTTAAAACTGCTACAAGAAAGAGCCCTATTATATGGGAGTGGCGAGTCTTAGCCATATTGAACAACACAAGCTATATGGAGGCTAGAGATGGACAAGGAAGACAGTCATAATTTAAGACATGCACAAGATAGGTGGGGGGCCTGGATATCCAGACTTCCAGACTTGAACGCAAGATGATCTACCGCTTCATTGTTTTTTCTACTGGTTTATGCCCAGTTACAGTCAGAGAAATTGGAATTGCATTCGCAAATCCTAGACAGAAGTGGGTAGAGATTCCATCTTCCACGCTTTTTGTTTCCTTTTACGCTCTCGATCAGTTCTTTGGAGTCAGATTCAAAACAAACCTTTGATAAGCCCAGCTCAGATGCCCATTCGCAACCTTCAAAACCAACAATTGCCTCGGCCATGATTGCAGATTCGCGTGGAAAGGTAGGCATTTCACTCCCACGAACTCACCATTTGCATTTCGTGCTATAAGACTTGCTCCCCCTTTGCTAGAAGATGCCGACCAAGCAGCATCAAAGTTAACTTTAATAACATGGGCTTCCGATGAGGTCCAAGAGGCAGGATTTAGAGTCATGGGCATGTAAGGAAACATATTTTGTTTCTGTGAACTCTGATTTTCCCAGTAATTTCTAAGGAGATTTAAGAGAGACATAATAATTCTCTTTTTAATGTTGGAAGGAGTCTCAACTTTAACTCTAGCGGTTGATAAAACATAAAAAGAAAAGGATGTCTTTATTGGCATGTGGTTGTCTTGATTCATTGTGACTACTCCCTCATCTTTAAGAAATTGTTGAGATTAGAATATAGATCTTATAGTCATCAGCATTGATTTCAAACTACCTCCCTCTAGTTGATTCAATTCCCAATTTTGCAGGATTGGCTTACTCATTTTAAGGTGGGTCTCCTTATGTGTTGATAAACGTGAGAAACTAGGAATTGGAATAACTCCCTTTCCTTTCCTTTCATATCCCTGTAAGTAAACATGTCATTTATGACATGTTTACTAATCTATAATTGGATTATGAGAAACTGAATTGAGGATGAATTGAATTAAGGAGGAGTTGGATTGAGGATAATTAGATTCTGAATTCCTATTGAAGTTGTTTACTAAACCATATAGAATTAGGGTAGGAGTGGTGTTAATTACTAAAATGTCCTCGTTGTTGGGTTAAAAGTAGATGGCAAATTTGGAATTTTAAAAATTATATGAGGATATAATGGATAAAAAAGATGAATTCCTAATGAGTTAGTTCTCCGGGAATTAGAATACCACATCCCACCCAAGAATTGAATTCCTCCAAAATCAAGAATTCAATTCCTAATTTTATGCGAGCCCCACTTACTTTTTAATTCTTTGATGTGAAGTAAACGCAGGAATCCTCCATAGGTGGAATTCAATTCCTGATGAGAATTTCCAATTCCTAATTCATAAACACACAATTAGAGCGAGGACAATGAGTTACAGCTATCACGACTCTTCGGTTGGGATTCTTATTTGGAAACTCCGGTCACGACTCTCCTTGTGTAGGGCTGCTGCCTACATGTGGGTCCCACACATTGTGAGAGAGAGGGTTGCCACAAGAATTACTCGTTTGAAAGATCAGGGAAAAAAAAAAGTCTTTCATTCCATATCTTTCTCTAATGTCACTTTTCCTAAATTGAGCAAAAATAAAAGTTGCTTCTACCAAAAAGTTAAAAAATAATTGCCCAAAATTCCTACACAGACTGCTGCAAAAAATATTCGAACATCCCGCTTCTTTAGTCTCCTTTGACATGCTGCCTCATAAGTATAAAGCCAAATGATGCCACCATTGCAACCAGGTACCCAGCAATAGCTCCATAACTCACACAAATGGGCCATTCCTGCAGAAAGTAATATATCTTAAGACCTCAATAGAAAAGAGAAAAACCCAACAAAATGGAGCATCCAAATGATCATACAAGTGACACAAGCATTTCCGTCAACTATGACTTATGAATGCCCACTGCCATAGAGCAAATCTTTGAAGTTCACCTTTTCTTTTTCTTTTTGGTTTTTTTTTTAATAACCTAATAGTAAACAGAAGTCCAAAAGTAGTATGACAGCGGTCGGTAATGCATCAATAAGATCCACCAGAAAAAAAAAAAACTGATGTTGTAAATCAAGTTAGTCATCCATGAATTAACAGCACCTACGGTGGTAAACCATTGAAGTTCACCATGCACAATATATAACAAATAGCTGCTGAATCAATTTATCATGCTACTTATTCATTTCTTCCTTTAAGTCTTTTTAAAAATTCCCTGCCATCCGTGGCTTCCTGGCTTGCATAGACTTTGGAATCACTGCCTTTAAATCTGAAGGGAGCCTCCAGCACGTGGTTGTGAACTTGTGATAACAAGTTTACAATACAACCCAAAATCGGTGGATTGGATAGGCTTCGGTTGAGAAACTCTTTCAGTTGCGAACATGGTGGCCTCTATTCAACCCAATAAAATTGGTCTGGATGGTGTTCGAGTCCAAATCCCAACTCACCCAATCCTTGAGCAGCCTTACTCACTAGAGTACATGAGAGTAAGGACTTGTCAGGGATTAGGAAGGGAGGTGAAAAGATCTTAATCTTATCATTTTTGAAACCATATCTAATCCTATTTTCTGTTTTCGGTTATTAAGCAACCACAATGTTCCATAAAATCTATATTTGACCATATTTTTAAGCTAGAAGAGCGATTTGGGAAATAGTAAGTTCTTCCAATTCATCACCTACAGCTACTCCCACTAAGATCAATACTTATCGGAAGTTTAGACAACATTAAACCTTTCCGAAGATGAAACATTAAAAGAAATTTTTTCATTCAGAGGCAGGTATGCCTAAAGAACACTAGTCAAGAAAATGGAACTGGATACAAATGTATTAAGCTTGTAACACTGTCAAGCACATTAATGGCTCTCAAGGTTTGCCAGTTTGCATTGGTGTCAGAAGGCTGCCAAACTGTGCAATAAATAAATAATGCAACATATTATATAGTCGCCAAACTAAGGAGAATTTAGAGTGTTCTCTGACATACTAGGACTAGTACTTATGTGTCTTCAATAGTTCAATTTCAAAATAAGTTCAATGAAAAACATTCCACAAACAACAAATAAAGGAAGAAAATAAATCTTACAAAAGAACAAAATATGGGAAAAGGAAGAAGATCGTACCTGCCATGGGCGTTCCCAGTCAAGCGGCATTGGAAAAGCTCCAAACCAAGCACCAATAATAACTCCATGTGCTGGTATACAAATCATATAATCTACAGGGTCAATAGCTCTGCAAGTACATAAATAAACCAAGACCTAGTATAAGTTTAGAACAACTACACTCTGGGATCGAATTATTTTACAGTATAAATGAACTCTATCCAATTAAAGATCACAACTAAAATAAACATGATTAAACATGAGAAAAAAGAAGCAAATAAGCATAGGAAACTTGCTTTGTACATGCAAATATGCGTTGCCAATCCATCCATGATGAACCAAAAACAGAAGCTGCAGGCACAATCTGCAAATATACATAAATTAAGTTTTAAAAATGTATCAAAACCACAGCATAACAAATAAGAAAGTAGAACTCATTGCAAGGTCACTATTATTTCAATGAAATTTGTTAAAGAAAATTAATAGATTCAGCAAATTGAACAAAAGAACATATAAAAAGATTGAAAACAATCATAACTACACACCATTATAGGTCACTTTTGACAACGAGTGCCAGATAGCAACAAATAATATAGAACACTGGATTATAGCTTAAAGAAAGTGGAAGAATCCCATCCAAAATACTCTGAAAGTAGAAATTAAATATTGTACGACTTGCAACCCCAATGTAGAGGAGGACACTTACGGTGAACAATGACATCACTAGAGACCAGTTAATGGTCTTTGGTAGATACCTGTATCAGAAAAAGGAAAAGGAAAAGGGACAAATTATGACAGATTGTAATATGGCTAAATCTATCAAATGGCGACTCTGATCAATGGATCATTTAATAACACATCTTTCTTGCTAATACTGAAAGCATGAATCACAATTGAGGTTGAATAGGCCCGTCAAATCATCAACAACAACAAAAATACCAGCTAAACCTATATCCACCATGACCATCTTTCTCAACCAAAGACACAAACATGCAAAAGAGCGATTTGAGTTCCAAAAAGGAGGTGGATAGTGTACCTTATTGCAATGTTGATGATGTGACGGAATTCTAGTTTTGTTAAAAGGGAAAAAAGGGTGCAAATCTATTCCCTTCCAACCTCAGCTGTGACTTCTACTTTCAGAATTATTCTTATTAATGACATTGCCTATTTGAGCTCTTAATTCACATACTGGATTCCAGCGGGTGCGCCCAAGGCAATTGCTCCCAATGCATTTACCAGAGCCCCTACAGAGTGTAAGACATAATAAGTTGTGATATTTTCTTAATTAGTAGTATTACAAAATGCTTAAAATTAAGAACATTTTATATCGTTATAGTAAAAATTCATTACGAAACAAAAAATCAGTGCACCAAAAAACAATAAATGGAAAATATATCCACACGAACTCTCCATACATCATAAGATAATAACTTAGAGCATGGTTGTCACCTCCACATGCTACAATGAAAACTCCAGAGATGACTTACATTTCCTTTAAAACCGAATATAGCATAGCTTAGGATATGTCATATACGAATGCTTTAAAAACATTGACACGATCTCACTAAACTTGCAATTCAAAACTATATACGATAGAGCAGAAGATAAATTTGAACTGTGGACTAACCAGCAGGAAGTCCCAGTAGGCCACGTCCTACAGCTTTCAAATACTGTAAACATCACATTAAAGACTATCAGAGAAACTACAATGAATCAGAAGTCACAAAGAAAGAAATAAACTCATAGAAGGCTTGTTGTTGGGTTGCTGAAAAAACCAATTTTTTAAAAAAAATTCCTGCATTTTCCATGCTTTTCTCAGCTACCAAACAGGAATATCAAGGCATAAGAACTTACGGAGCATCGTTCACGGTCCTTCCTGTATCGGCTGTAAAGAAGGATCACAATTGGGCACTCAAAAACCTTCAAAGCGAAAAACCCAAATGAAAAATAATAAAACAATTAGAAAAGATTAAAAGGAAATTCGAAATTTGGAGATGAAAATAGAGAAGTCAAGGGTAGGCAAGAAGGTACGCAGATCAGACGAAGGGTATGAGAAGGATGGGTGGTGAGGTTGACGGAGTGGACATTATGGGCCACCCAGAAAGCTACAGTTAATCCTAAGCCACAAATCAGGTGGACAACCAGTGCCTCTGTTGCAGATATTGATCTTGAGGAAGCTTTAACGGCCATCTCTTTGTTCTTCTTCGGCTTCATTCTTGTTTTTCGTTTGTGCTGCTTCAAGGAGAAAGTAAACCGTTTATTTTGTCTATTTCTTTTGCTCTCTAGGATGGGCTGGAATATTGAGCCCATAAGGACCGGGTCGGTTTTGTAATTTTTTTAATTTAATATAATTTATTGTTTTTTTAATGCAATTTTTATAATTTTTTACGACTCTAGCACTCAGACCAGAAAAATAATAATAATAATACTGTAACTCACTCACCTTCATTCCCCAATTTTTTTTTTGCCCAAAATAAATCATGATCTTTAATATTTGTGACAAAATGTTAGTGTCATTAACTTAATTGCGCATATAATTTTTTTTTTTATCTCGCATGGTCTAAGTTTTTTGTTAAATTTCTTTTATTTTGCTTGACCAGTGCATTTGACAAGAAAAAAGAGACTTTTCTATCGCACTTACTTTGAGTTTCATGTTTTTTCTTCTCAATGCTGGAAGATGCTTCAAAATCAATTTTCTCACCCATGACAAAAAAAAAACAAAACAAAACAAAAAGAAGCTATTTTATTTCCCAAAGTGGCCATAAACTTCAAATTCCTGCTAAATAGCCCTCAATGGTAAACTTTTTTTCTTTTGCTTTTCTTGAGTTCATTTTCATCCAAGAATCTAACAAACAATTTGCAAAAAGAGTAACACAAAACCAAAAATCAAGGTGTGAAGTTGGGGGGAGGGTTCCAAAAATTTCAATTTTTGGGACTAAATTCACACTAGGGGTGGGCATCGAGATCGAAAAATTGGAACACCGAACTGGATAGGTGAAAAAAAAAGGGGAAAAAAACTAGTTGACTAAAAAAGTCAACAAACCGGACCGAAATTGGACCGAATCGGTTCCAACTGGTTCCAGTTCTGATTTTATAATTAATATTTTTCCAAATTCAACTTCAAAAAATTTCTCATTGTATGAATTGGGTAATTTGTTAATTTTTTAAGCCAAAAAAATAACTTTTTTTATTTTTATTTTTTGAAAATTTAAAAATTAATAATCCATTTCAAAATTGGAACCGATCAGAACCAAACCGAAACCGGTTTGAACCGAACCGATCAGTTTTAAATTTTTTTTTTGCTTAAATTGGACCGGTTAAATAGTACTGGTTCCAGTTTGAGGTGAGAACCAGACCATGCCCACCCCTACTTCACACCTAATTTTGACCAATCCAATCTCAATGAGAATTTGCAAAATTATACCTTTTTTTATATTATATTTATTTCTTTATTTATAGAAAAGGATTTCATTCATATAACGGAGTAGTGTACATAGAGTGACACGAAACACTGACCTCGTTAAAACCTTTCTGATGGACAAACCATAGGGTAGGAAAGAGTACTACACATGTCATAGACTAACAAAAGAGTTTGAATCAGTCATGTAGGACCAGTGTGAAAGCAAGATAAAATAAATCAGCAAAATGACACATAGACCCCTGATGAGAACACTACAACACAACCCAACTGTCAAAAGAATATTGCTATGTGTTGCATAGCCACAAGATAGTGAGAGCATCTAACGAAAAACACACCAATTCGCTAGGAAGAAAGAAACCACAAGCACACCATCTCTAGCCACCTCCAATAGCTAATGGCGATGAAGGTAGAGAAAGCTGCAAAGAGCAAGACAAAGAAGAGACTAACCCTGCAAAGAGGCAAGGAAAAGAAATAAAAGGACCCCCAAGCACGACATATCATCTTAACACTGACAAAGAAACCTCATATGAAACCATAGGCCTTGAAATAGGCGAAGAATCAAAGATCTGCTAAGGGTGAAAATAAGAAAACACCACATAATTATAACAAAACTGGCCTCAGTCACTTGGCTGTAACATATATTTCAGACTGGTGCCGAAGAGAGGCCACTAGATCAAACACTGTGGAGCAAAGTGGTTGAGCTAGGGGGAGATGGAATCCTCTACCTCAGTGCATTCATGAGATGACGACCACCAAGACCGAGTGTTAGAACTACAACGATCACTGGAACCATCATTGGTCCGAAGACTAGCATGCCAAGGAGAATGAGTGGGGCTCTTATATGGGGGTGAAGGAGCCGAAATTAGGCTCTTCGAAGATCCTATAGAGTTGCCCCGCAAGTTGGTATCACCTTCCAAATCAACAAAAGTAGAGGAAAATTGGAATAACAAAGACGGATTGAGAGAACCTTGAGAGAGCTCATATTTATCAATACACACCCAAGATGAATGACCAATTTTGCCGCATGCAAAGCAATATTTAGGAAGATATTCATACTTAAAGTCCACCATTCGCTCACCCACTTCTGAGAAAGTAATAGGTGTACGACGGATAAGAGGTTGCGTGACATAAAACCTCACACACATACAGATAAAACACCCCATATAGTCAGTACATTCGCGGTTATCCACGCAAAGAACTTCTCCGAGAATAACCCTTATGGCTTTAGTAACAACGACAGTCATGCAAAAACCAAGGACACCATGGAGTTGAACCCAAAAGGTACCAAGGGATAATGGCGTCGAGTGCAGATTCCCAATATTCGAGATGTGAGCCAGCAACATCAATGAACACTAAAAGGCCCAGGGCTCCATATCAAGAACCCAATTTTTGTCGCGATCATAAACAAAACGCACCCAATATTTGTTGGAACCAATTTCTTTGATAGAGACATCTCCAGAGCCTTTCCAAAGCTGCGTAAAGGTTTTAATAAAGCCGTCACGATTGACAAGTTTATCTGTAAGGACTTGAGCGACAAGGCCATAAATAAAATCAACAAAATTGTCTACAATGTCCGAAGAACCAATAACCAGGCCAACCTGTTCACTTCGGTTAAGAACCAAACTCTCGATATCTGCAACAGAGGTAGACATCAAAACACAATAGACCATACAGGAAACAACAAGGAATTCAAAACTGAGAATAAATGAACTAGGCCCCAAAGAATGGGAATTATCACAGTGGTGGCAGACAGAGGGAGAATGGCTTAGTACTGAAACCGAGAGGGCAGATGACAAACAGAGAGTATGGAGGCGAGGAGACGCACCATGCAAGGTAGGAGACGAAGAATGATAGTGACTATGACTGCTGGAATTAAGAGAGTGACTGAATGCAATTGGCCAAGAGGCTGAAAGCGATAACCATTAAGAGTGAGAAGACGACTTTGCGAGAGAGAGAAAGTGACGTCGATTGATCTCGATGGGACAACGGCTGAACGCGAGACGAAACCTAGATAAGACTCATGGCTCTTCTCGCGTAACGAGAGAGCGACCCGGGGTTAAAGGCCAAGTCGAAATAATGCAAAATTATACCCTTATATCTTTGGTGTTCTTATAACATGGCTAAATTAACTATTCCCAATAATAATTATTCTTCAAAAACTTAATTATTGAAAGTATACAAGCACAATTATTCAATCTGCGAGATGAGGCTTCCCTAAATTAAGCGTCACTACTATTCTCATAGTATAGGGTCCATTGTGTTCAACCCAAACAAGTGAACCATAAGAAACTATTTGTGTCCCAACTATGTAATTTATGCTCAGAGTATAGCTTTGCTTCTCATATGTCTTTTGAAAGACAACTATACTTAGTGAACCTATAACTTCAGAATTAATTGGTATTGTCACTAAAGCACTATAAGTTTTGTTGCCATTTCCTACATTAGTTATAGTTCGTTAAAAGTGTTTCTCTTTCAACATTCCCAAGTCTGCAATATTATATACAACAATAAATAAAGGATAGTTGAGGTTAGAAGATGCATTTGAACAATTATAATCGTTATGTCTAACAATGGATCACATTTGGTTTGTTTTAAAACCCGAAGAGCATAATAGATTGATATAATCTTGTTGTGCTGCACCATAAATCAACCCAGAGTCAAGGGCCTGATGCGGGTCAATATAACCTGCTCCTATATCTAATGGCGAAGCAAGATGATGAAGTTTGCCATGTATTTTTATTGGGTTTCCCGTATATTATCCAAATGATTTGCAGTGGTCATAATGGTAGACCTAATGGCAGCATGGCTCCATTTTCAATGAACATTTTTCAAAAGTGCAGCTATTCCAAAAACATGAGAACAAGCTGAAGATGTCCCTGATGTCAAAGTGTACTTATTATAAAGCGGAAAAGCTCCCAAGTGAGCTATAGGTTGGTTTGGAATCCAGCCAACAAGAACATACACACCAGGTGCCATTAGATCTAGCTTCAAAGATATTTGAATAGCTTCGTGAATGACCTCTTGAAGCAAATATAGGTACAGTTGGTGCAGGATTTATGCCAATAATATTTTTTTGAAACTCTATAGTGACAACAGGTTTATCACGAGATTTTACATATTGTATAAGATCCATTGCATGTTTTGATGTGACCATGATACAAAAGCAAGGTGTATTTTTTAAGTCAAAATCATCACTAGTAAGTATAACTCCTTGAATATTTGTTGAGGAACATTGAAGAGATTTGACCAACAATAGATCCTCCCTTACATATTATGATTTTGTGCTACATTATAGACTAGTGATACATCTTTTATTCAAACATATCCTAGAAATCTAGACCATCCTATAATGTGTAGCCCATTTTCAAGAATCAAAGTTCCAGCAAACCAACGATTAGTGGAACCTGCAGTGACAGTTGTAACATATGGAATCCCATTATGCATTGTTGCTAAGAGTGGGCCTTGATTCCCAGCTGAACATGCAACACATATGCCTTTTTGTTTAGAAAAAAATGAAGCTATTGCTATAGCATTTTCAAACAGTGGTAATCCATAATCATGGAGAGAGCTATGTTGAGATTTCAAATATACAGAGCTATGCTCTTGAACAGAGAAGGGAAAACAAGAAGAGGAAAAAGATTGGAGCTGAGAGAGAAAAGAAATCGTTGAGAGGAGATAGAGAGTTTGTTACTGAGCATTAACCATTGCAATGCACACATATCCACTATGATTTCATTCCAACGGAATTATACCTTTTACAAAGAATGAAAACAAAATCCAACCTTGCAATTGTGTCAGCAATATGAGCTGTACACTTGGCAAAAAACTAGGACATGTAAGTCCTAA